AGCTGTCAGCAGGGAGCCTGACGCGGGGCTCGAACCCACGAACAATTCATATAACATAAACTTGACAGTATCTAAGGGAGCAGTTCAGTGGCATTTGGCACATTCACAGGACGGTGCCACCACCCTGGCAACCAGCAGTCGGCTCTCTACGGACGTACCTATTCTGGACATTTGACGTAAACGGAATCACACGGTCTCCGTACTTTTGCGGCTGGCTTCTTCCGCATTGACTGATGCGGTTCAGGTCCATCTACCCTGTAGCCTGTGCCAGTGCCCCATTCCTTTTTTTGTTTTGATGTTTGTTTATTTTTGAGAGAGAGAGTGGGGGGGGAGGGGCAGAGTGAGAGGGAGGCAGGATCTGGAAAGGCCTCTGTGCTGACAACAGCGAGCGTGACGCGGGGCTCGAACCTGTGAACTGGGAGATCGTGACCTGAGCCGGAGTCGGATGCCCAACCGACCGAGCCGCCCAGGCGCCCCGCTTCATTCCTTTTTATGGCTGAATCGTGTTCCTTTTGATGTGTCTGTGGAAAAGGGGGCCCAGGGCCTCAGTGAGCATTGCCTGTTGGTCCACAGCCTTCCGTCTGGGAAGCGGAGGGACTTCAGGCTCCCCGGTGACCCCTGCAGTGTTCATCCCTGGACTCGGAAGTCCAGGCATGTCCTTTTTTTTTTTTTTTTTTAATAATTTTTTTAAATGTTTTATTTATTTCTGAGACAGAGAGAGACAGAGAACGAGCAGGGGAGGGGCAGAGAGAGAGGGAGACACAGAATCCGAAGCAGGCTCTAGGCTCCGAGCTGTCAGCACAGAGCCCGACGCGGGGCTCGAACTCACCCCGAGATCATGACCTGAGCCGAAGTCGGTCGCTCAACCGACTGAGCCACCCAGGTGCCCCCAAGCACGTCCTTTTGTGCTCACTTATACCTGTTTAAGGCACCGCAAGCAGTGGGCGGTCGACGGTTCTGCCTTCCTCCTGATTGTTCCCCAGACGTGTCCCTGGTGTGTCCACGGGCAGGTCCCAAGGCTGCTGAGAACTTGGGTGATGCCTTGGGATCCCCGCTGTCACTGAGGAGACATACTCTGGTTCATTGCAGCACAGGTCATTTGAGGAGCAGGGAACAAATGCAAAACAAGCAGGCTGTGAGAGCTCTCCTTGGCCTTTTCTCGGTGAGCGAGCAGCCGGGTCCCTTGGTTCTTCCTTGGGGAACTGAGTTCCAATGCTGTACAACCCATGCTGTGCCAGGCGGTCCCTGGCCACACTGTCCTGCCGGATGCGGTGTTTATTTTTCTCCCGAGGACAGTGTGCCCCTCCTTCTGTCCTCCCAGTGTGGCCCGGACTGCCCACTCCCTCCTGGGTCCACTGGCTTCCCCAGCCCCCAGTCTTTTGTGCTCTCTCCACCTCGTGGGGGCCCCTCCCCATCTCCAGATCCCATCCACACCTGCCTGGCCGCCTCTCCCTCATTCCCGTCACTCTCGGTCCCTGCAGCGGACAGAGGTCTGGTTCCCAGCACGTCCGTGAAACAGTAAAGCAACACATGCTTGGCAAAATGCTGGGCCTCCTACTCCGGGGCACTTGTAAAAGTAACAGGAAACTGAGGGGCGCCTGGGCGGCTCAGTCGGTTGAGCGTCCGACTTCGGCTCAGATCACGATCTCCCAGTTCGTGAGTTCGAGCCCCGCGTCGGGCTCTGTGCCGACAGCTCGGAGCCTGGAGCTTGCTTCGGATTCTGTGTCTCCCTCTCTCTCTGCCCCTTTCTTGCTTGTGTTCTCTCTCTGTGTCTCTCAAAAATGAATAAACATTTAACAAAAATAACAGGACACTTAGTTTCCAAAGGAAAGCCATTCGCTGCCTGTCTTCCCTCCGTCTCCCAGAGGAAAGGGGAAATCTGCTCTAGCTCTGTATTTTTAGCACGTGTCTTGACCGCAAGCGGTGTTATACATGTGTACATCTTTTTCCCACCCCGCAGAATTAAGGCAGCAGCAGGGGTGAGGATAACGGCCGTTCGAGTCACCAGCGAGCAGCAGTGGGCAGTCCAGGAGGAAATAGACAGCAGTGGCTCTCAGACCACGGCCACGCTCACCTGCGTGGGCCACCACCCGGACCCGCAGAGCAGGTAAGCCGACATCCCCCAGCGGCCTCGGCGGCGGGGGCCACGAGTGGCTGCGTAGCTGATCGCAAAACAATGTGCGTGTCGATGAGCTGATGCCTCTGCCTTTAATGGGCAATGTGCTCCGTTTGCCCATCGGCTTCCGGATGGTTCCATCACGGGGCTGAGCTGCTGCGGAAGGCTTTTAATTCTTTACGCTCTTTATATGCCAGTGGCCTAACTAGGTGAGCAGTCCCAAACACGACCTGCACTCACATACGTGCAGGGTTTGAGAACCGTGTTTTGAGAATTATGTTTATTACTGTTACTGGCTGCACTAAAGATTGAAGAATGAAATGGGCAGCATGGAAATGATCTAAGAGGCAAGGGGAAGTGGACTCATTTACGGGCAAACAGAGGGTAGCTGTAACGACCGAGGAATCGTCTCTCGGTGCTTCAAGGCAGCCGTCTCGCGGACGTCACCCCTGGGTGCTGGCACGTGTCCCCTCCAGCTCAGACGCCGGCTTTGGGTTTCACGGGGCTCCGCTCACCTGGAGGTCATTGCTAGGCCTCGTGCATCGGGACCCCACTAAGGCAGGGGGCGCTGTCCCCACGGTTGTGACCACCTTCTCTCTTAAAGGGTCGGGCGAACGAGCCCTAGACGCGCACCCCTCGCCCCTGACTCACAACCTCAGCTTGGCAGGAAGCGTCTTTCAGATCTGTTACGTATCACCTTGCGGTGTCACCCCCTGCTGTCTCTTCTTTCTCCTCTACTATTTAAACTCATGGAGGCCCACCGCTTTGGGCCTGGGGGGCACTCTGTGAATGGATGAGGCCGTGGGTGGCTGGGTGGGGCTCCCGACCTCGGAAAGACTGGGTACAGCTTGCCTCTTCTCATGGAGTTCTGGTCCAACCTCTGTCCGCTAGAACGCTGTTCTGCCTGCTCTTGGAGGACCTCGTTCAAAGGGAAACAAGGGTGTCCAGCTGAGGGGCCGCGAGTCTTCTGTTAGGAATACGATTGCTCCAAACTCAACATTCTGGTTGTCCCCCTTTACATCCATCCCTGGCCGGCCGTTTAGTCTGCGGCCTCACGTGGCCCACGGTTTCCCTGGGAATCTGTCTGCCTGC